ACTGAGAAGCTACATGCCGCTAGATCAGCCAAACTATCTTCAGTCCTCATCCTCTTTGACCTTTCAGCAGCGTTTGACACAGTGAACCACAAGACTCTCTTGTCCACCCTCATGAGCCTAGGAATTCGTGGTGCAGCATGGCAGTGGTTTGCTTCCTACCTGGAAGGACGGTCATATCAGGTAACATGGAGGGGATCCACATCTGCTCCCCGCAGACTCTCCACTGGTGTTCCACAAGGCTCAGTACTTGGTCTTCTCCTGTTCTCCCTTTATACCCGATCTCTTGGTGCGGTCATATCCTTGCATATCCTCTGCAACTGATTCAAAATGCAGCTGCACGATTGGTTTTCAATCTTCCTAAATTTTCCCACACCACCCCATTGCTGCGCTCCCTCCACTGGCTTCCTGTAGCTGCCCGCATCAGATTTAAAACACTGATGCTCGCCTACAAATCAAAAATGGACCACTTATCTCAAAGCTCTTATCACACCTCGCATGGCACCACGCTCCCTCCAGTCCTCTAGCACTGGTCGACTGGTCCCACCATCTCTCAGGGCACAAGGAAGACATGCATCGAGACTCTTCTCTGTTCTGGCACCAAGGTGGTGGAATGAACTTCCCTTACATGTCCGAACAGCTGAGTCACTGGCAGTCTTCAAACGAGGTCTGAAGACTTACCTCTTCATAAAGTACTTAAGTTAGCACTTACACACACACACAAACACACCAAAAAAAAAAAAAACTCTCCCAACAGAGTTTTAGACTGATGGTATTTCTAGTTTGTGACCTAGTGAGCCAATATCAGAATGTATTTTTGATAGACTAAAAAGCACTACTGTAAGTCGCTCTGGATAAGGGCGTCTGCCAAATGCCATAAATGTAAATGTAAATGTAAAAGTGAAGCCAAAATGTCTCTGAGGCCCTCTAGTGGCTGGCAGCAGTACAATGTTCAACCCCACCTATACACACGTTAGTCAAAGGGAAAGATGCCAAACTTCCATTTTACGTTACAGCGCCACAAATTATTTTCAGGAATTGAACTTAATATCTCCCCCAAAAATGTTATCTGGTGATAAAAAAGGGCATGGTTGATGAGATGATTGATAGTTTTGGACATGACAGCAGAGTCTCATGGACACACGCTCAGATCAGAGGCCTACTGTTCTCCATTAAAGATACTTTTTTAGTTGTGGATATAGGAACAGGAATGATATCTGAAGGTGTTAAAATTATCAATTATTTTTTAGGTTGGTTTGCCATGAATCTTTGTGATGACTGAATCCCAAAGTTACCTCACATATGATCACATTATAACAGAATGAATTTATTCAACACTGCAAACATGTTATGTGAATTTGGCCATTAAATCAGCCAGATCTTGCACTTTCCAGTTGACTACAAGTGAAGACATAACCACAGCATTTTTCATGTTGTTGTTGTTTTTTATGATAGCACCCACAGCATCATACTATAATGAAAGGAAACACACCTTTGATCACAGTCTGATATTATGTTAAAATAGTAGATCTTACTTTATTGATTGAAAACAGAAGTGTATAGACATTTCCTAATCATATCTACCACAGCAAAGATTTCTTCTAGTTCAGCTGCAACAAAAGCAAATACAGAAATAATTAATTATCATTATTCAACATTAAGTTATTCCGCTTCCTGATAGAAATATCCTGATTTATAATATTTGATCTATGTATAATATTGCTCAACCAAAGTGAAAGAAGCCATACACACAGATATACACAAGGTTCAGGAGGAAGAGTATACATGCCACACATTTTACTATTAAAAGCTACTTAAACCTTAATGAGAAGTAAATAAACATATTGAACCCAGATTTTATAAATACATTGAAACTAGGAATATAATTCTGCGCCTTAATACAGCACATAAACAGAAGGATTATATAACAGGTAAGGCATAAACACAGTGTGTGTTGCTGTTATACTAAACTACTGTGACAGGGTGACGGAGTAGTGTGATGAAGAGGAGTTACTGTCACCACCCCAAAGTTGATTATTTTTACATAACAGCATGCCCCAGGAGTTGTATTCCTCTCATAACACAGCTATTTGCCAACAATTACACTTTTTCAATATATAAAAATATAAAATGACACATTTCTTTATCTGTTGCACTATTGTCAGGACTGCTGTTATAGAAAATTAATCAACACCTTCTGACTAATCAGATTTGAGAACTAAACAGCACTGTGGTTTAAGGTAATATAATGGGTGCTACGAATTACAAATAACTCAGAATGATTAGCAATATGATGTACGCTAACTAGCCACATTAAGTAACATTAACAGTAGCATAGTCACATGAGCCGTTCTCGTTCTTTAAGATCACTGTTGGATCTGCACCATTAGAACCAGAGTCAAAACTCACTGCTGTGTACATTGGACTTTCACCAGATTTCACAACCAACGGCTGAGAAGCACTGACTGATGAGTCAGAGAGAATTGTGGGTAACTGAGCTGTGGAGTAGACGTCCTGATCAGGAGAATCTGATGGAGGTTGTACTGAAGCATAAACAGTTTGTGAAGAATCATCTGGATCTGTGGGTAATCCAATGTTGGAGTAAAGATCAGAGGGGTCTGAGGGTATCATAGCAGTGGAGTAAAGTGTGTTAGCGAGACATTTGCTGTCTTTAATCTCTTCATAATCGTAGACAGGACATGGAACCTGAGCACAAGAAGGAAAAGAAACAACTGTGTCCAAGTTGTGTACTAAAAAACATAAAAATGCGTTCATGTGAAAATTAAGCTCTTAAATAGTTTTAATTAAAACAGGTTAAAGTCTTAAATACAGACTAAGCCTTGTATATATTTTTAATTTAAACCAGCTGATTTGAATGTGCATCTCTATAATATTCAATCATTTGTTTTGTCAGCATTCTCAGGTAAAGAACAATGTTTCAGCCAGGCAGAAACATTAACATAAGATGAGACTTGTCACATTAATTAATTAATTAATTAATGATGCTTATTAATAGATTTGTGCTCAATGAAACTGTTTTACATTTACATTTATATTTATGGCTTTTGGCAGATTTAATGGATGACTTAATGGTTAATATTATGTGTATGTTCATTGCTTTCATAATTAAAAATATTTCTGGACATGCTCAAGAAAAGCTGAATTTAATAACTTTAAGTTTGTAACAGCATAATATGTGTACTGTATTACTGTATACTGCACCCCTGTTTCAAAACTAAGAATAAAATAAACCTAGTTCATGATATCTACACTGTATAATTTATGTATGTAAGGGGCAAGGCGCCATGGCCCCAGTCTGCCACCAGGGGGCGACAGAGAGCTGCCGCTTGGTAATTAGTGGTAACCTGCTCCACCTGTGACTGGCCTATTTAAGGGCTGCTGACAGATTGGAAAAATGTTGTCTTGTGGTTACTATGTGAGAGCAAGACTAAGCTGGTACTGGTGTTTTGAAAACTAGAGCTGTATTCTAGCCATTCTCTCAATCCTTTGGGTTCCTTCTCTTGGGGAGGGGAAAAAAACAGAACTTTTGTTTCCTGGTTATCTCTCTGTACTGAGCAATCATTAGCTCCTCTGGGTTTGTGTGTTTTGGTTTGCTGGAGGGTGAAGATCAGGCCTCATACCCCTTAAGCCTAGCTCCCCTTTAGATTTCAGTGCACTTTGTGGCACGTTGCTAACATTCTCGCTTTCTAACGTAGGCTGTGGCTCACTAAGTTTGCTCAGGTCTCCTGTATAGTGAGGCCTGGATTCAAATTGTGTGTGTGTGTGTGTGTGTGTGGGTCACAGCCGAGTACTCACCTAGAACACAGCCACCTTGCAGATTATATACAAATTTCAACAGAAAGTCAACTAATGTTTGGTTTAGTGCAGTACATCACCTGTGACTGCAACATTGTTTTTGTGGTTTTGGTGAAAGCAGTGAAGGTTTTGGGAAAACATAACTCACCACATGAAGGTCTGAGGAGCTTTGTGGAGATTGGGCTGGAGGTAAGGCTGAGAGTGGGGGCATAATACATTTAACCATTTAAGAATATACATTATAATATGGAATATATAAAAACAAACGAATGACAACAGTTTGTAAAACAGTTTGTAAATGGTCCTTGTCTTTGTCTTTCTATATCTCATGCAGGTACATTTCTGTCCACTAGGGGGAATTTTTGTTCTGTTACTAGGGACCTCATTAACATGATTAACTAGTTGTTAATGTATCACACGCAACCAGCTGCACTCGAATATTTATACTAGTCTGAGTATGAATAAATGACCTGATTAATGGTGTTAAATTATTTAAGATTTCAACAAAAGTCCAACATTTTAGAATGTATCTTCTAAAAATTTAAATGTTATTTAGAGAAAAATAAAACGTTGCATGCAATAGTAATTAGAAACAGGTAAAACATGTAAAATGTAAAGTTTTTTCTATTAAAATTATTTTTAATGATTAATCTATGACCTATAATTGTCAAATTTTCTTAATAATAATAATAATAAACACCAGTAACTCCACCTGTAAAGAAAATAAACCAATAAGATTGAAATAAAAATCTGGCCACAAAATGACGTCACAGTTCTGTTCACTGAGTATCCAATGAACGCGCTCCATTTCAAATAGTCAACTGTTTGGAATATGAGTGTGTGCAGTTTCACTCCCTCACTCTGTCAGGAACCATAAGTTTCACTTTTCACTATCCTAATTAGCATATTAGCTAGCTAGCCAAGTATCATCCATCCATCTATCCATACTCCTTATCCTACACAGGGTCATGGGGAGCCCCTGAGCCTATCGCAGGGGACTCGGGCCACAAGGCGGGGGGGTCACCCTGGATGGGGTGCCAACCAATCACAGGGCACAATCACACACTCTGGACAATTTGGAAATATCAATCAGCCTACAACACTTGTCTTTCAACTGGAGGAGGAGACCTGAGTACCCAGAGGAAACCCCTGAAGCACGGGGAGAACACGCAAGCTCCGTGCACACAGGGCAGAGGCGGGATTCAAACCCCCAACCCCCCAGAGATGCGCGGCAAACGTGCTAACCACTAAGCCACCATGCCCCCAGCCAAGTATCATTCAAAAAAAAAAAAAAAGGTTTTACTGGGTAGATATACACCCTGTAATCTTACAGCTAGCTTCTGTTTAATATCATGAGTAGCATCAGGAGTGATTTAAATCTTTCAAATGTGGGTCCAACTTAGCTGAGCAGCTAGCTGAGTTTATTTAACTAGCTAACAACTTTAGCTTGCTTGTTTATTTCCCTAGTTCGCCAACTTTAAAATGACTCATGAGTAATCAGGTATTGCTAATAATTTGTTGGTTCATAAGTGAAGATCAGCTGAAAACATTGGAGTTAGGGTTCCTTTAAACTGAACCTTTCACACTACATGAGCGGTCACCACAGGAATGTGCAGCGAGTGGTTGCTCAGTGGGGGTTTCACTGATCCACCAAACTCCTCAGTCAGGGGGAAAATCAGTTAGTCTACTTTAAAGGTCACATGATGTGTACAAGCTCTCACAGATGTTAAATTTCTAAAGGCGGTGTGTATTTTTTTTTTTGTATGTTTATATTACACCAATAATTTTGGAGTTACTACATACTATAATTTCATGTGTCTGTTGTCACCTTGATTTTTTATTTTTTTTACATCAAGTGTTCTGCAGTTTATTCATCTCGCTCTCCATTTTTTAAGAGTTAACTTTTAACTTAACGCATTAAACAGTTGTGTGAATGAAAGTAAAAATGTTTGTTTCGCGGTACCTCGGGTCCTCTTTTTCTTCTGTAAGGCAACAGCGAATAAAAGGGCAATGAGAAGCAGCACTACAACCACAGACACTGCAATGATGACCGTTAACGTGTGGAATTCTGGAAGGGAAAACGCGATCATAAAGCAAGAGTCAAATTTAAACCATATTCTGATCATTTAGATGTTCTGATTTTACCTGAACATTTTAACTCTGTTTGTGTAAGCAAAGTGAAACTGAAGATGTAAAGGATGTGGTTGGTGTTGTGGTCTTCAGACTGTGGATGACTGTCTTGATGTGGCTGAAACTGGAACATTTGGCAATACAGGAACTAAAATTTGCATTCTTTCATGCCAAAAAAAAACCATTGGCTGAAAAACTGAAGATTTCATCACTAAAAAGGTATTGAGTATTGCATCCAAAAACCGCATTGCATCCAGTGTTTTCCTCTTTTTTTCCCATCAGTTAGAATTTCCCTGACAGATGGCATTTCTGCAGTTCTACAGCTCTGTTCCTTGGCATAGTTTGCATATCATGCCTCAGTTTAATGTCTTGCATCTACGAATTAATGCTGCAACCCAAAACATGACATGTTTGCTTCACTTCCTCCTGGAGTTGATTCAGAGTTTTCTCACTGCACTAATACCATTGTAGAGTTTGCTTGGAAGTGGACTGAACATCTCAAGTGTATTAATGTTATGTAACTAACTGGGATGAGTTTATTAATATTAAAGAGGTGGATATTAATTACCTGAAAACAATCAACCACACGGGATATATGTATATCACTATATAACTTTATTTTTAAGGAAAGCAGCAGGCTGGATTTCAAATCAGCAAGTCCCATCTGTTACAAGCAACCAATCACGGGCCGCTAAAATTAAAATGCTGTCATGAGACCAGAGTATTTAAACCACCATGCTGCGCTGTTACCAAATTAACCCAGTAATGAAACAAATAATCTAACTAAACTACTCAATATGTGTAACCCAACATTTGGGTTAAAATAACAACCAGCGTTTTTTTTTGCACTGTACAGAAGCGCACTGAGGTGCAGAACATCAGGGTTCTGTTCAAACAGACTAAACTCTGCACATGTAAAAGCACCCTGAGTTTTGATGCATGTTTTCAAACTGTAAAAACTGATATGTAGAAATCACACCCGTCCAGATAAACCACGCTGAGGGAAGTGCAGCTGTACCAGGTGTAGATTTAAACTGAGTAAATACCACATATGTGGACGCACATGAATAAGTAGGAATGCCATTGTGGCTGCAGTTTTAAGTCTCTCAAGCAGCTCGGTATTGCTGAAGTGGTTTCAACTTCCTGCAACACGCTGAACACCAGGTCAGAGATGCTGAGCATGTCACAATATAGTTGTGGAAAATGATATTCTTTTTCTTTATATTTTTATATTTATTGTTTGGCAAAAATCTGCACTATATGACACAGAGAATAATAGAGTGCAAAAAGGCTTGTGAAAAACATATCTTGTGTTTTTGGCATAAAATGAGCAGCAAAAGCTTGGGCCCAATAATACAGGTACACTATGTGGCCAAAAGTTTGTGGACACCTGACCATAACATTCATACAGCATGTGTTTGTTGAAAATCCCATTCCAGATTTAATCCCCTTTGCTGTTATAATAAGCTCCACTCTTCTGGGAAGGCTTTCCACTAGATGTTGGTGTTCCAGTTCATCCTAAAGGTGGTCAGTGGGGTTGAGGTCAGGGCTCTGTGCAGGACACTCAAGTTCTTCCACTCCAACCTTCACACACCATGTCTTCATGTGATAATGACAATGTGCACAGTGCCACTGTCATACTGGAACAGGTTTGTGCCCCTTAGCTCCAGTGAAGGGAAATTGTAATGTTACAACCTACAAGAACATTGTATACAATTGTGTGCTTCCGAATTTGTGGCACCAGTTTGGGGAAGAACAACATACGAGTGTGAGGGTCAGGTGTCTGCAAACCTTTGGCTATATAGTGTATTTTGTGACTACAACAGGTATGGCAGGCTATTAGCAGGTACTGCACTGCAATGGTTAAAAAAATACAAAAATGATAGTGGATAAAGGGTTAAAAGTAACTTCCTGTTGATTGCTAAACCACAGGACATAGCAACCTGCTTAAAACATTTACACCTCCATCACTGAGGCCATCTGTCCTGTTATGGTTTGATCTGTGTTCTCTTGCTCATGTAGAAAACTTTTAATAAAGGCTCAAATAACATATATGATATTGTACATACCCGGAGGTGAGGGAGCATTGGTTGAGTGGTTAGCTTCTTTTTGTGGATTAGCTGAAATAAAAAAGTAAGACATGATGAATGATGTGAGAGAAATGTGATTTAGAGATCAGGTGAAATGTTCATACCTGTTGCTGAATGTGTGCTCGCAGCATGCACTGATACACTCATGGCATGGGTTGAGGCGGAGTGTGTGGTGTGTGTGGCATGGGGGACTGATGTACTGGTGGAATTATCTGAAAGAATGGAAACGGTCCATTTTTAAATTCCAGGCAGGTCAGATTAAACATCCAGGCATTGAGCCCCATTTTATCAATCTTTAAGTTTACAAACATGATAAATGAGGCCAATTCTACATTGTACACTCTGATTTAATAATCTGCCTCAATCACAATGTGTTCATAATCAACAAATTAATGAGAGATTCTTTTAGTCTCCTCTGTGTAACTCACCCGTTTTCACCAGCAGTAGAATCTCTGTGTAAAGATCAGGCCCTGTCCGCTCTATCATACACCAGTAAGTGCCTCCATCCTCTGTTCTCAGATCAGTGATGGTGACGGTGAAGACTTTGGCTGTTGTGTTGTCATACAGAGAGAATCTGGTGTCTTTAGCAGCAGATCCAGATTCAACAGGAATGTCTTTGGTTCCAGGCCAAATGTGACATTCACCTCTGCAGAGATACTTTTTGGATTTTTCATATCCAGATCCGTAGGGGCATTTAATCTGAACTGGTCTTCCTCTGTGACCAATTACTGTAGTTACAGCATCAGTATCAGCTGGAGAATAGAATACAGTGGAATGAAATATGATCCAGGACGATGGTGAAACATATAAGACCAAAATAAAGCTCAGTATCCAGGAATATTGAAGTGTAAACAGTGTGACAAGTGTAAGACAAGAGCCAAGTATTAAAGATATTTTATTGAGCTGCATATATATGTATAAGTCTGAAAAGTATCTACAAATGTGAATCTAATGTGGTATAATCTGCAATAACCAATACTGATATATCTTAAATAACAAACACTAATAATATAAATCATACAATCCTAAAACAGGGCTATCTGCTCTCGTCTGTACTCGATAGAAGATACTAAACTCACATTTTGTGTTTAACACAGGAACAAGAGAGGTGACATTGCAGGCCGACTGCACTGATAAAGCATTAGCCCTGATCTTTAAACACATAACGTGTAGTTAAGGACTGTTTTTCAGCCAGTATACAGATACAAAAACGCTTCAAAGTCAATTTTACAATGAAAATAAGTAGAGATAATGTTCCCATGTGTAGGTCACTTGAACTTGTACGTTTCCTCATGCAGTAAGTGAAGTGGAAC